CTGATTTACTATAGTGAAAACTTTTATTGACAATGGTGAAAACTTTGAAACTTCTTTTACTATAGTAAGCTATAGTTTACTATAGTATGTTTTAGGGGATCGATTGTTGTTTCCTTTTATAGCAACAATGGTCTAAAAAGATAGTCTTCAAATTATCGAGAAGATGTAGATTACTGCATTATTTAGGCAATACACTAACAGACTAAAGACATAGTGTGAATGGCAAATATTACAAAACCATTCAGTGAAATACACGACATCTGAACGGGGTTCCCTTTTTATTTGTAGCATATCCATACGCATTAATAAACATCTCAGCAACTGAAGGAAAATGAAAATGTTCCATTATATGGAGATTCATTAGAAAAGGGTATTCACGAAATATACTGTTGTATACAATATAACATGAACAAGAATATCTGGTCAAAATATATTTTACGCATTATTGAAGATGAAGTCTCTTTTCTTTTGATAGCAACACAGTTGTTTAAAAATGGATGCATTAGCGGAATAGGAAAATATAGATTATTGCACTGCTGTAGGCATTATGGATTTAATATTTGAATACTCTTTATCAAAAACATAATGTGACTGACATGACATTGTATTAGAAAGAAATGACGGAAATTTAAAATTTTACCGGAAAATTCCCATTTCTATTTTAGCACAAAAATAAATCTTTGATTCGTGTAAGTCTATGACCTAAAATATAAAAAGGACAATATAGAGTAAGACCCATTTTTGGCCCCTGATTTTGGGTGTCTTTCAGAATGATGCAACTGTATATCCATAAAAACCTAAAGTTGACGATTGAAAATTTAAAGTCATCATGTGTATAATAAAGTTTTTCCCAGTAAAATAATCATGTGACTGACAAGTATATATATACCCTTGACTGACAAGGATAAAATCAATGATGATTTCCGGTTCTACTTACAGCTACAAAATTATATAAGAGGCCAGATGGCTTTAACAGTCATCTGAGAATAACCCTGTAACGGATCAACAAAATGGTAATTTAACATGACAATCAAAGGCCTAGAATCGCTATATAATTTAATAAAGCCTTAAAATCCCAAAAGTAGCTCTTTGACCTTCCTTTTCGTAAATTCTGTGAATGTAATGAATTTAAGCCTTTTGTAATTTAATATAATTAGATATTGCCTAAAAATTTCAAAGCTTGGTTGCAGTAACTTGCTTTTTTTTTCACATATTTTGACCCAGGATTCTTTAACTAACAAAGTCCTGACTGTAAATAATTAGATATACGTAATTGTGAATTCTAAAATAAAGTCATTGTGACACACCTGTACGTTAACATAGTATGTGATCCTAGGATGCATTTAATGAAAAATCTTGATGACCATAAGTCTCTTACTATTTCAGATAAATGCATGAATACTGTACTGACCAGACCCAACCTGACACAAAACATTTTCAGAGCAGTCCCGTTGACTGCTTCCGAGGCTTTGCGGTCCAACAGGAGTCCTAGCAGTCCCAGTTGTCCCAGAGAGCAGTTCCAGCAGTCCCACAAAACATTTCCAGCAATCCAAGTGGGCGGGGTAGATTGTTGTAATGGGCAGAGCTTACTCAGAAATGAGATTGCCAATAAACAATGGAACTATAAAAGGCAGTTGAAATTGATTCTAAGGTAGTTTCAGCAAAAGTAAACGCGAAGAAACTATTTTAAATAAAATTTATTGAAGGAAGAAGACTTTAACACATAATGATTACATTAATATTTACTCACATTGATGCGATTTATTAATCTTTAATCAACATAATTTCATTTCTTTATTATTAGAATGATATTGGTTTCCATATTTGTTTCTTTATATGAAAAAAAAAATTGTTGTTTTCTATCGGAAAAACTAAATAATTTGATCTTATAATTAAAGAGCAAGGCAGATTTTCATACAGTTAATTTACTCTGAAGGCATTTTTAGGTAATGGGTTTTTGAAAAATTCTTTTTTCAATTTTGCCGAGCATTTTATTTTAGAGTTATTTTCACCGCCATGTCAATTTAATTATTATTAGTTTTTTTATGTAATAGAAACAGGAAAACACTCAGTGTTAGGTGTTTGTTATGTAAACATTCGAGTGTACATATGTAAATCACCAGAATGTAACCCTCCGGTTAAGTTAAAAATTAATGAATCCCGAAATACGTTTATAAATATTTCATAGCTCATCAAAGTTTTTATTTTTTTTTTTTTGGGGGGGGGGGGGGCATTACATAGGATCATTGTTGACCAGCCTGTTAAATGATGCGTAACATTAAGACCCAAATAAACTATGTAACATGCATTGACTTCCTGCAAAATCAATACCAAAGGCGATTAAAACAGCCGATGTTGACACAATCTTTCTCACATAAACCGACCGGGTTACCTCAAAAAAGAAGAAATCATTAATAATTACTTAGTTATTATTTTATTAAGCTTTAATAACAGAATTTCAACTGGAGATTTATTTTTTAAAAGTTTTGCGGTAAATGTTCTATAGTCTTTAAATCTATCTAGAGTGCCTCCGACAACGTGCAAAAAGCTACCACTTGCAAGGTAACGCCAGGTTATAAAACTTGGCGTTGGACGCTATTCGCGCGTTTCCTATTGGTGGCTCATTCCACATAATTTTTGATGTCATCCCCAATAAAATTGATGCCATGCTGACCAAAACGGTAACTTCTTGATTCATCAGCAGAACAATTCGCTTTTAATCTTTGATTTTCTGGGTTTAGGGGGATGAATATGAAAATAAGCGGCTTCATTAAGTCACAGAGGTATATGTAACTTCTTAATCTACCTACCGTAAATGGATTATATCTAACATGGATTTAAGGACACCCATTCCTTAGATACGAATGATATCTCTTTAAAATATCATTTGATTTTTAAAGTCATAGAAGTAAACTTGAAACTGAGATGATTTTTGTGCATTTATTTTCATTCTATCTATCTCAGTATGACTAAAAACTCCTTGAAGTCTCAGAAACGGTCTTTTAGAGATTTTACATTTGTAACCCCCCCCCCCTCTCCCCGAAGTAAGAAATATAATGCATATTTTTTAGAAATCAGAATTCCGTCATCTACTCATTTTAGCATGACATAAGATTAAAAGTGATTTGTAAAACCTTATATTAATCTTGCAAACATTTTAACGTAGAACCTACGTCGTATGACATCATGTGTTTAGCTTGTGCTAGAACCATTATGACGTCATTATCAAATTAATGTTACTTTTCCCGTACTCTACAGCTTCAATAGAAATTGAAGAAAATTAGAAGAGCTATTTGAAATTTATGGAATTCATTTTAAAATCATGCTACAATACTCTTAGTTAATACCTATAATCAATTTACATATTTTTAATTATAAAGCTAGATGACTTAATTCATTTCTCAAATTAAAGAAACCTGTAGGCACCTTTTATTTACTATAGATCTTGACCTAATGCAATGGTATGCAGGTATTCTGAGCGGATGCAAAAATCCTAAAAATTAAATCTTCTGTTGCCAAATAAAGAGTATCACTAATATCTTAAAAATGTGTCTTGAGTCAAAGATGTGTTGAATATTGTGTATAAATTGTTTGATGCCTATCATGAAATGCATGCCTCTTTATAGTTATTCGTTAATTATGTATTAATTCTTTTTTTTATTAATATGGTTGGTGTTTGATTACAAATTTTCTATCCAATATGATCTGTTTGAATTGAAAAATACAATTTTTGATAAATATTAACATAGTAAATCTGAAAGTAACTCCAAAAAGTGATTTATTAATTAAATCCTGTGTAAGTGCAAAAAGGTCAAGAAATGTAACATCGGTAAATAACCTATTTCTCGTTAGTTTGAGGGGAAAGGTAAATACCTTATTCAGTTTTTGTAATAACTTGGGTATGTTCTTCATCATTGAAAACATTCTGACAAATACTTCTGAAAAATATCGACAAATTTAGGGTGAAAATTTGACTAAAAATTAAAGAGTTCATTTGCCTATTTTTTCTTAAATGTGGTCTAATCTTCTATGTCAATGGAATAAAAAAGAATTTATTACTGAGAAATACTGTTTGATACTGTTCAGTTAATAAAGTCGAAGACCGGCGATGTTTAATTAAGTATTTTTGAGATTTTTCATATTATATTCTCCTTATGACAAGTACCCCTAAAAAAGACTGAGAATGGGTTGTCGCAGTATGTAACTACCATTCCAAGTTTCACAGGCTGCACTACATTTAATAACAAGGAATCATGTCATGTGCTTTTGACCGATTGATAAGCGAGTGCTGGTTTATTATTTTGAAAAGTTTGAAAATCTTGTGACAAAGACTTTTCCGACATAGAGTCTACCTTAAATAGAATATTTTTAAAGAATTGATCTTCATCTGAAAGAACTTAGTTTAGGTTCCAAATATGTATGAAAAAAATTCAATTTTCTCCATATATACCTGGATACCAATAATTCGTTTAAACGAAATGTATTTGTTGATTAATTTTCAATTAGAAAATGCATAACGGGTACCTCCTTTAACATTTCCTGAAACATTATTTGAGACTTGATAATTTTCCTTTTATAGTATGATTAACTTTAATGGTAAGGTTTCGTAGGTGAATACACGTCATTTTAAGAATTCTAAGACATTGTTGTACATTGTAAGCATTTTCAATTACTTTTCAATTAATTTTCATGAGCGGGGAATAGGACTAATTATCATCTTTTTAAAAAACAAAACCGCACCTTTAAATAACACTAAACAATATGGCTAAATTTAGTAATTATTTAAAAGATAATACTGTCAAATTACACCACGTTTTGAACAACAGGTCCCTGGTATTTAAATAGTAAATGTATAATGCATTTCTTCACGGAATACTTACGCTAAAAGGAAAAAAAAAAAGATGGAGATAACTCTTTAAGTTCTAGATAGATGTTTATTCATGATGCAACGATAGATCTTTCTTTTTGCGTGTCAAATTGTATCAAGGACATTTCTCATTTGTTTAAAAATGTTTCCATCCGGTAAATGAAGATCGGTAGGTAGAATGACTACGAAGTGGTCCAGATAAACCGTTGTTAGGATGTGTGCGGATATAAACAACATCCCCTTGATTGATCTCAACAACGACGACACCTGTTGTGTGTCTGATATTGGTCGCTCCCTGTGCACTACAAAACATAGCTCCGACGGCATTCGAGTTGACAACAATTTCAGAAGTAAAATATCCACCAGAGGAACAGTACAAAGTCCACGAAAATGTGTAGACCCCGTCCATTGGACAGAAGAAGGTCCCCGTGTGGCGATTGTAGTTTCCACCGACGTTTGTTATTACGTTGTCGAATATGATTGTTTGGTGATGTCCTAGGCTGTCTTCATCATGTGACAAATAGGAGTAAAAAGCCACACCGCCTGTACGAAAATTAAAAAAAAATATTCATGATAAAAAAAATATGATTTTAATAAATTGCTCAAAATTTTTTTTACACTTTTGCCAAAAAAAAATTAAGACTTGTTTCTCGAAGCACACCTGTAACAGATTTCCTGATAGGTTTATCGTTCTTGAAGTGAAACAGGAGTTTCTGGCAACAATTTCCAAGGCTAAAGTGTTTACGGGATATCTTCAAATCTGATTTTGAATACGATAAATGCATATTTTGTCCAGTATTTTTTTCTCCAGTGGTATTTTTGTTTGCAGAGGAATGAATAAATCCTTCACTTTCGTTTTGCTTTTTCATATCCACAGAAATGTCTGTCTTTGTCATTCCAACATTTTTAAGGATATCATTTTCAAGAATCAAACGTTTGATGACCACTTCTTGGTCTCTGTTAATTCGTTCTTGTACTTGTAGTCTATGCTCTAAATCAATCAGTTTTCTTTGCAAATTAGAGAGAAATACATTGTTACTATCCCAGCTATTGGCCCTGATTGTAGAACACACCGACAACAAGAAGATTGCAATGGAAAACATGTTCAGTCATTCAGAAGATTACTGCACCTTATCAGAAAAGACAGCAGATTATATACATATGCCATTGCATTAAACCACCACCTTAAACTCACATTATGATAAGAAATACCGACTAAGAACTAATGTTGATTCAAGAATGTTGACCATTGTACTTTTTTAAATTCTTATTCGAAAGAGGGATTAAGATTTTTAATTCTTCTTTGAAGTAAAAGGCAGTAAAGAGTTATCATTGTCTTTAAACACCAGACGAGAAAATCAATTAAGAAAATTAAAAAAGGTTAATGCAGCACCACATTGGATCCAATCTATACCTAATACAAGGAAGTTACTGTGACCTTTCTGTAAGACTTTTTATGAATATAGTGAGGGGTCGTCTACAGAACTGATAGTATTCCTTTCCTACGGTACTGCATGGTATAATACCTTTCCGGATCTCGTACAATTCCTTAAATTTAGACCTCCTTGTAATCGATTTTTTTTTATAACCGAATATTCTTGTATTGATTTCAGAGAATTTCAATTTATATCTTTCACATAATTGAACAACGGGTGTAAAGTGTTTTTAAATTTGGATCATGTGTCTCCAATATTCTACCCGTCACAGTAAGAGTGCCACAAGGGTCAATTTTGGGCCCTCAATTATTTTTATTGTACATAAATGACCTTCCATTTCATATAAACACTTCAAATATTGATATGTTTGCTGATGATGTTACTCTGTATTCTAATAATCATAATGAAAGATGTTTAGAAAATGCACCAAATTCAGATCTTTGTGAAATTGAGAAATGGTGTGCTTAAAATCAAATGGTTTTAAATGTAGATAAAACAAAATATATGTTAAGGGGAACACAAAAATTAAATCAAAATTAGATAATCCAAATTTACAACTTTATGCCTCAGACAAAACAATTGAAATAGTTGAAACTAAAAAAAGTTCTTGTTGTACATATTGATGATAAATTACAGTATGCAAATCATATTGATTTGGTTTGTAAAATAGTAAATTATAAGGTATTTACTCTTCGAAGGATTAGGGAAAATTTCTCCCTCTACATACTAGAAAACTATATTACAATGGTTATATTTTACCATCTATTAACTATTGTTTGACTATCTGGGGTAATGCCTCCAAGAAGGACATGGACAGACTATTTAAATTACACAAAAGGGCAGCAAAGATTATTCTTGACGCAAGTCCCGATTCATCTTCTAAACCACTGTTTGAGAAACTTAATGGTTAACAGTTTATAAGCTAGTTGATCTATACAAATACACATTATTATACAAAATTTTCTGTGGAACGACTCCCAAGTATCTTTGTAATTTATTTTAATTTCATTCTTTAACTTCTTGAAACCTGCGATCTGAAAGTAATTATGATCTAAGATTGCCAAAATTTCTTACAATCTTATTCAAGACCTTTTTTCAGTATTCAGTATTCAGGTGTACATCTATGGAATAAACTTCCCCAACACATTAGACTCTTAAGCGCAATGTAAAAATTTACATCACCAGCTGTCGCACAATTACTTGAGCAGAATAACATTTCGATAAAGTGGCTTTTAACTAGGCCTTGGTTGTCCTTTGGATAAATATTGCCTAACATCCATGGTACCATGTAAGGAAATGCTTCTTCTTGTGGGAATAGTTGATCAATATCTACAATAAAAATTATGATGACAATATTTAATACATTCTTATATAGAAATTATTTCAAGATATTTCTAAGAAATATCTTGAAATTGAATTATGTTTTATTTTTTCTCATAGTACTAGATCTATTAGAATTTAGTTTGAAAGTGTATTACATGTAGTTTATTCTAAATACCTTGAATTCCGCACACAGGACAGGGTTCTTCCCTTCATAAAATACCCCAACCACTTTCCTTACTCTCCTTCACTTGAAAGGCCCTATCTTCTGTAAGCTTCTCCCTGCTCAAATGGCAAAGACTAGTATTATCTTTCAAAAAACATGTAGCTATTTGTAGGTACATGAAATATGAAGAAATCAGTTATTTTACTCATAACCTAATTACTGTTTCTTTAAATTTTTACAGACTGAGATATTTAATATGAAAGTATTAAATAAAATTCAAATGATGCATCTCACTGTATAAATTTTTTTTTTTTTACACATCTTGCACTCAGTAAAGTCTCTCGATTCTCTCCAAATTACGATGAAAAGTTCAGCCAAAATAATCACGAACTGAGTCTGTCATTGTCACAGTCTGTACACATGGTACATGTGATTCGAAGACTGACAAAAAAATCAACAAACTAGACTTTTTCATTAGTTTCAATCATAAAACATCTATTTTTTACTTACATTTATGATCCCATACTGTTTAATTCACTCCTTTTCTTTAATTAAAACACAAACACCATCTACTAATACGATGGTATATTTAGGACACGCAAATATTTTTTCTTAAATACCATAAAAAAATTATCTTGTGAAATTTTATACAAGAATTTGATCAAAGAACTTATTATATTATGTCGCTTTCACAAGATAATATCTCGTTTTCACAAGATAATTATGTTTTCACAAGATGATATCTCGTTTTCACAAGGTATTATCTCGTTTTCACAAGATAATTTATCTCGTTTTCACGAGATATTATGTCGTTTTCACAAGATAATATCTCGTTTTCACAAGATAATATCTCGTTTTCACAAGATATTATGTCGTTTTCACAAGATATCTCGTTTTCACAAGATAATATGTCGTTTTCACAAGATAATATCTCGTTTTCACAAGACAATATGTCGTTTTCATAAGATAATATCTCGTTTTCACAAGATAATAAGTCGTTTTCATTAGATGATATCTTGTTTTCACAAGATAATTATGTCGTTTTCACAAGATATTTTTTTTTCTGGTATTTAAAAAAAAATAATTGCGTGTCCTAAATATACCACCGTATACTAAGGTATCAAAGCATATTTTCTGTCACTACGGGATGCTCAATTGAGTCGCTAAATGTAGAACCAAACCGGAACGGAGATACGGAATTCCGAATTGTTTGTTTTTTTCAAAGACGATTTTCTCCAAAACCTGCGCGCGCGGGTGACGTTAAACATAGTTTTAATTTTAAACAGCCTTAAGAAAAAGAATCAGCTCAAACTTGTCATTTTGCTCTATTCATTAACCTTCATGACAAAAAGTGAATTTAAACATCCATGACGTTTCTTCAGCATCGAAAAGCTTCTCGTATTTTTCGTCTAATTGTTTTGTGTCTTCTTACAGTACATATCCGTTACAATTGTTAAACTTATCAAAAGTGTTACTCCCTTCTGATTAAAGAGGTTTATATTTTTAGAAACTTCTTCAAAATAAAGCTGGGATGCAAATCCTTCCACTAGAATTTTTAGAATAGTTTACTTTCTTCACGACAGGTTCTTAATTTTAAAGGAAAAAAAATTGAAAGTAATAATGTTTTTGTTTCCCGCTTTTGCAAAAGCGAGGGCACATTAAATCTCATTCGTCCGTCCGTCCGTTACCCTCTCATTCTGTTCGTCTGTCACAAAACTTATACCTTGGTAATATCGTTTGAATGACAAGAGAGTGGACTTTAATATTACGTTTGTACGTTTATAAACTGTGACAAGACTTTTGTAAATACACTATGATTTTTGACAGCTGAATGATAACAGATAGGGCTTTCAAACTAAAAGAACTTTCTAAATACTCTATGATTTTTGTTTCCGTGACCTCAAACCTTGATGTTTGACCTACTTTTCAAAAAATTTGGTTTTCCGCAGAGCTTTTCATTGATTAGAGATAGGGTTTTTATATTCGACATGTTATTACCTATGGCAAAATATATTAGGGTATGCTATGATTTCTGATCCCTTTACTTTCATGTTTGACCTAATTGAAAAAAACCTTTGGAGAAAACATGATTAACGTTCATATTTTACACAATATGCCATAAGAAGTTACATCTTAAACAAGGAAACATCAAAATTTCATCTTGTTTAGTTAAAAATCAAAACTTTTTTGGGGGGGTATCAAGGCATCTATTGTTTTAAACTTGAGATTTTAGAATTTTTATGATCAATGATCAGTTTTTACCTTAATTATTAAGCAACTAAATAGAATCAATTTAGTTTCTGTATTCTTTACTGACAAGGAAATGGTGCAAACATACATTTTAAATTTGATAAAAGCTAATTTTAAAGTGGTTTGAATGAATAATTCTATGTTAACCTTTTAATCAACTGTTCCTTCGTGATGTGCTCGGAATTTTGAAGTGAAAGTTGTGGGTCCTTTGCATAAGACCTTAAAAACCAAAGTCCCATGTCTCAGTAGACGTTGTCACGATAAAGATCCCTCACTGCTAAATGGCCCTGAGTGCCTTGTAAAGGTAAAAGTTTGAAACCTTTCTCCGGTACATGGTCTCTATATGAGTGAATTTTCTTGAATCGGACGTAAAACAACAAAGAATCATTCAATCAATCAATCATTTATCAAATGGTTTCATTTTTATAATTTCATTCAAAAGACAAAAAGTTTTTAAATTCATATGATATATATACATGTTATCTATTTGCAAAAACTATTTTGTTGGAGTGGTATTTGTGAATGAGTCCAAAAATAAAATCAAAGATTAACTTTATAAAGAGACGGGTGTATGTACTTCCGATACCTTTAAACCCAATCAAAACTACACTTGTTTAATTTGATACTTTTATAAGTACTTTAACATGTTCATATGTTAATTTGTTCAAATCCTTTCTCGTTTAAAACTTCATTCTGTATTTTCTGTATTTCCTTATTTGACACAAAATACATGTATATTGCTTAGGTCCTTAGAAAAAGGGCAGATATGAGGAAATACTTTAAAGTAGGTCTTAAAATCATTTACACATGTCTCATTAATTTTTTTTTGCGGAAGTAAATATAAGAAAAGTGGCCAATGTTAGGTTCTAATGCATTTCTTTGGGTGCGTCAGTTGTCATATATTTTGACGTTTAAAAATCTTTTTTATAGCGTTTTCCATCAATAATTTTTAAGCCGCTGTCTTTGTACCACAACCTAACCTTTACAGTGGGTTTGGGCCTCTAGCAGATATGACTGGCTAAAAGGGATTGCTTCCTCTTGTGGGTCACCTGAGTCTACCATTCATTTTGTTGCTAGGAGGCCATGTTTTTGAACTCTTCACATTATGTAATCGTTCCCGAATTTATGAGATTGATATCTAAACGGTATTTTTTCTTTTGAACCTTTAAAACAACCCTTCGTTAAAAGAGTGAAACCATGGATGTTTGGAAACAACTATGGTTTAATATATATCTGTTCGTGATCTTTGCTACCTTGACTGACTCTTGTCCTCTTTCGTGTAAATGCCTGCCATCATGTTACTGCACTGGGACTTCTGTGGACTGCAGAGATAAGAGAATTTCGGTCGTTACATCGAACTTCCCCAAGGACACATGTACTCTGTACGTTTTTAAAACAAAATTGAATTGTACATGTAATACATTTAATCTTTTCAATATTCGCTGGAAAGAAATTTACAGATATGTAATATTTCGTGTCTATTTTTTTTTTATTTGTTTATTTTTTTTTCTTTTTATTGTTTAGTGAGCTATCGATTAACGCTATAAAAGTTATAAGCAATACATCATTCATAGGAATTGAGAAGATACAGTCACTGTGAGTAATAGAGATATCTGCCGTCGAAAAAATGTAATTGTTGCTTGCTAAAAATGATACATTTATAATATAATAAAGTGTATTCTTTATATTGTACATGTTTTCGTTTCAGAAACATAGATTTCAACGGAATAAATTTGATTGAAAATGGAGCATTTGATAGACTTACCGGCCTCAGAAAATTGTAATGTTTGAATGTTTAAAGGGGTTGATAAAGATAATTTTTAATTAAGTGCAATCACTTGGTAAGGGGTAATCGTGAATTAGCGCTACACATATTCTAGCGGTATTCTTTCATAAGCGCATAATTTTTTCGCGCCAAAGTTGCTAAAACCCTCTTTATTTCGAAAACAAATATTCAAATTAAAAAGTGCACTTGCATGATATCAATAAAATATGTATATTTTGTAAATACTTATTACTCATCGATTCAGACTTCTTTGTAGATCTCTTAAAGTAAACATGATTACCATCATAGATGACAAATTATTTCGGGGACTATATAGCCTGGAGACATTGTAAGTAGTTATAAAAAAACACTGTACATGTATGCTTTTTTTTTATTTAAGCAACTAATTTTATGGTTTTAAATAAAATATTTGTTGTTTTACTCAGGAACCTAGAATCAAACTGGATAAGCAGTATCAATAGAAATGCATTCTCCGATTTGATTAGCTTGGTCGGACTGTAAGTATTAACTAAACCGATGTATTATTAAATGGCTATGAACAGAACACTTTGTTCCCTTCGTACGGGGGTCGACTGGTATTTTATTGCGTAAAAAATACAATAGACTACTTTATTTTTTAACCATATATAACTTGCATTGACTAAACTGTACATGCCAGGTTTAGGGGGAATCTGCCGTCCAGGTATTTGTAAGGGTCCGTCTCAAAATACGGGACGGACATTTACTTTAATTAGGATTACTAGTACATAGGAAATTGCAAATTTTTCGCACTTAACAGCGAATTATATAAATACTACTGTAGGCGTTTTGCTCAAACTATAATATGTGATAATAAATACTATATTGTACATTATGTGCAAGGAACACAAAATGCTATGGTATTGTTTCCAAAATGGACCATCTTAAAATGCCAAAAATCAAAGATTTTTTTTCCAGATTTATAGAGTACTGCTAAATATGACAATACAAATGATTTATGCAATATGATAGTATAAAAATTAAGGGAGAAATTCTCAAATCAATATGTTTATAATTTCAAGAGCATATATTTATTACTTTTTCTATTATAACATTTATATAACCCCTTATGGAGAGAATAATCATAGCATTTATGCCTGCTTTTCTATCCAATTCAACGAATAAAATATATATTTTTTATTATTAAACATCTTCTGTAAGAGCTTCAATTTATTATAACGTCAAAAACACAATGTTACGACTTAAAATCTACCTATCAATTGAAAAATTGTTTAAAAATCAGTTACATTAAATTGTAATTAAATTCTCTAACCAGTAATTTCTTAATTTTGTCAGTTTTTTTTAATTAAGTGAAAAAATTGCTTTAAAACAGTAAATACGCTTCATTTTACTATAATGTGCGAAATACTGCGCAATGGAAACTCAAGTCGGCCCCCCTTGAGATACCTTTTTATTTGAAATATTGAAACTGACAACTTAAACCCTGTTCATAAACGTAAGTTGAATAAATTTAACTGCATACACATTATAAAGTCTTTAACTTTTTTATATATAAAATCTAAGATGGTTTCAAGATGGTCTTTATCCTAAATATTAGAAAAAATATCACATTGAAACATTATCCTATATGAGTTGTTTCTAGTTCCTGTTACATTTCAGGAGTGTTTTACATGCCGATTATATGTTTAAAATAATTATTTTTAATATCTGTTGTTTTAAAGCAATCTAAGAGGTAACAAAATTACTGTCTTCACCAGAGAAATGTTTGTCCATAACTGGAGTTTATCATACCTGTAAGTAAAATTTATCTGAATCGGTCTTTCATTTCCTGAATTGAAATGGAGAACCTTACAATTCATACAGAAAAAAATTTCCTGCAAAAATTAATTTAAATTTAATTAAAACCAAATCAGCGAAACATTATTGATTCTGTAAACTTGCTTTGCAAAATTTTTATTTCAATTTCTACATAGTTTTCTTGCAAGAATTAAAGTTATAAAAGCATTTCAATGACAAGAATGCACCATTTTCTTCCCATATATTTTAACCATTCGACTTCCCTCATAAATATAAGTATCCTCCTGAAAACTGTTCTGAATAATCAAAATATTTAATATGCATATTTCACTTTACAACTGCAGAGAATAAACTATTCTTTTTTAATATTTTTTAAAAGATTCATTGACAAAAATCCTTTACATTGCAACTGTACCCTCGATGACTTCTTGAATTTCACATACGGGAGAAAAATACTAATAGACGATGAAACAGTATGTAGAACTCCATCACAGTTAACAGGAGTACGCTTGAGAAATTTTAACATTCCTTCCTGCCACCCCAAATTAAAGGGATTTACGGAATGTGAACATAGTAAGGACGTTTTTTATTCTGATAAAGCTTACGTAACTAAATGGAATAATTATTTGTGTTTGTATAATTCTGCTTTATAAATTAAGTTTAGTTTATTGAAGTCAAGAGACATATATCTCACAGACAATATTTGCAATAATACATTTTCAAAACACATACATGTGTATCATGATGAAAAAACATCAATATGTACAAAACATATAAATCTATTTATTAGTTATAAAAGACAATGTTATTGATGCACTAGCTGATTGCAAAAACATGTTTCTAGATTACACATTTGTTATACATTCTGATTACTGTACCAATTGGAAGACACTTAGTCTTCAGGAGTAGTAAGTTTTAATGTATTTTTAATAAATACACGTGTAATACACTTTGGAAATGAGGAGAGAAGCCTTGTTTTCGGAGAGTGAAAAATCAAGCAAAATTTATATCATTGAAAGAAATTTAATGGAATGTAAAATGAAGAAATCTTTCGAAGAATAAACGAAAAAGGGGGCATTTGAACGGCTTTGAATTGCTTAATCCATGCCACACGTTTAGTTTCCTTTAAAAAGCTAAAGCATTTGTGCATTGTAAGAAGAACTCACTTTGGTAAGTACAAGTATGCATTCTTCCTTTAAATACGCTTGCAAATACAATTATTGATTTTACTCTCTTTGTGATTTACAAAACTCTGGATAAAGACAATATCGATGTACTTGCAATATGAGGTGTATTAAGAATCAACTAAACTAATGTTATGAACTCTTAAGAAATCTATGATTTAAGGTGGAACCTATGCAGGAAAAGTCTTTGTCAAACTTTTCAAAATAATAAATAAGCACTCGCTTATCAATCAGTCAAAAGCACATGGCATGTTTCCTTGTTATTAAATGTAGTGCAGCCTGTGAAACATGGGATGGTAATTACATACTGCGACTACACATTTTCAGTAATTTTTAGGGGTACTTGTCATAAAGAGAATATGAAAAATCTCAAAAATACTTATTTAAACATTGTCTTCTGTCGACTTTATTAACTGAACAGTATTAAACAGTATTTCTCACCAAAAAATTCTCTTTTTATTCCGCTGACATAAAAGATTAGTCCACATTTAGGAAAAGATAGGCGAATGAACTCTATTTTTTTAGTCAATTTTCACCCTAAATTTGTCAATATTTTTAAGAAGCCTTTGTCAGAATGTTTTCATTCTTTCATATTATGAAGAACATGCCAAAACGATTACAAAAAGAGAGTAAAGTATTTACCTTTCCCCTCAAATTAACGAGAAATCGGTTATTTACTGATGTTCCTTTTCTTGACCTTTTTGCACTTACACAGGATTTAATAAATAAATGACTTTTTGGGGTTACTTTCAGATTTACAATGTTAATATTTATCTAAAATTGATCATATTTGATGAAAAATTTTAATTAAACAACAACCACATTAATTAAAAATAATTAATACATAGTTAACAAAAAACTATGAAAAGGCATGCATTTCATGATAGACATCAAACAATTATACACAATATTCAGCACATTTTTGACTCAAGACACACATTTATCAAGATATCAATGATGCTCTTTAGTTGGCAAATGAAGATTTAATTTTTAGGATTTTTGCATTCCCTCAAAATAGCTGCATACCATTTACAAGTTATCACAATGTAATTTCATTAAATGACAAAGTCTTGGGTTTGTACACTTTAGGTCAAGATCTATAGTAAATGAAAGTTCCTACAGATTCCTCTAATTTGAGAAATTTATGTTTCATTTAGCTTTATGATTAAAAATATATAAATTGATTACAGGTATTAAGAGTATTTTAGCATGATTTTAAAATGAATTCCATGAATTTCAAAATGCTTTACTAGTATTTACTACAATTTCTATTGAATCTGTAAAGTACGGGAAAAAGTAACATTAAATTGATTATGACGTCATAATGGTTCTAGCACAGGCTAAACACATGATGTCATACGACGTAGGTTCTACGTTAAATCTTGTAAAGGGATAACCTGTCTATGACTACAAGAAAAAAGAAACGCAAAATTGAAGAATAAACTCATTGATGTAATTGTGTTTTAATTGTAATAGGAAAGTTTTCGATCATTTTATATTATAATTGACTGGAACAAATTCTATCGACACCATTAAACCTGAGCAAAATTTAATTTGTTTTGAATTAATATCTGTAGAAAAGTTCATTTACATACATACAAACATTTGTCAAAGTCCGGTCGTGATTTTTTTTCAACTGCAATCCTTATTTAATATAAATATATAATGATACCTCTGTAGAAAAATGACAGGTTTATGGAAATATGTTGAAGTTCTCCAACCCATCAAACAGATATAATCATCCCATCTAACAGGAAGTAAAAGGAGGATGATTACGAAAATAGACTTATGTGATAGTAACAAATTAAAGTATTTCTTTTGATTGTACTTATATAAGGCACTTGTTTATTGTTCCATTACTTAAAATTATTGACCAATGGTTTAGGTGTTATTGATAATTATCAACATTATTTATAACATGTTTTCCATAATTATTACTTTTAGGCTTTATACCAATTCGGATTACGAAGTTTACCTAATCAAAACATTGTACTCGTGGACGATGTGGCTGGTCAAAAAGGATTGATCACTTTTTAGACTCACAATTTTACCATTGTAGTTTCCAGGGGCCTGTGTTTTGTTGTGATTTGTTTGAAATTTTCATTGTATTTCTGAGATCCCAACCAGTTAGTTTTTATTTATGTTTTGCAGAATTTTTTAGCATTTAATTGATTGATTGCAGGAATGTTGTTTTGTGCCTCATTCCAGAATTTTTCAGTAATGGAGAGATCACTGAAAATGATTCTTTGATAAAAAAAGGGAGATATTACTTTTTCGAAGCAGCTTATGTTTTATTTATATTCTGTAGTAAGTTGTTCTATTTCAATTGATTGATGCTCTCTTTCGTGTGAATGCCTGAGGTACGTTTTTCTTTACATTCATTGATTTTTTCATAGAAGCTTTAAAGCATACACAAAAAGTAAACACAGAAGACTAGAAATAAATATTCTTTCCTGCGATCATCATAGATGAATTTTATAAGTATTTAATATTTAATTCTTTTTAAAAGGTGCCTACGAGGATGTTTGTTGTAACATCAGTAACATCCTTTATTTCTTCAGTGCGCAAAAGTACCACCGCAGTATCATATACATGTAGGTAGTCATATTCACAAAAGAGGTCAACAGTCAATAAAAAAAGCAAAGATCAGTTAAGATTATAAATAAAACATAAGCTAACTCAAAAGTCATGACTCATTTTTTCAAAGAATGTTTGTATTTAAAAAATCCAAAATTATGTAATAGTAAAAACAATGAACAGGTTTCAATTTTATAAAATTTTAATTATAAATTTGACGATAACAAATTCTGCTAAAGAACAAAAACATGGACTCCTTGAAATAGATATGGTACTATATGCCTCGTTAATGTAAATGATCTTTTCCGATGAGTCACGCATTGTATACTGATCGTAATGAAAAATCGGTAGAGGTTAGAGAAAATGGACTAAAAGGAATAAAGTTTCACCAGAAGACAACATGTCCAAAAAATTATTTTTACACTAGCTCCGAAACAATCTGAGGTATAACGTTAAAACTTTTACAATTCATAAAATATATCATCGTTTATAACATGAATATGAGTTTGAGATATGTATGTTTGTTGCAAATAAGATTTAAGTTAGGTTATAAGAATTTCAATAACTAATTAAATATTAAAAGTACTTATTAAAAATGAAATGATTTTGAATTATCTTCTTAACTGATCTCCACAACGACGACATCAGTTGTGTGTCTAATGTCTTCCGCCCTAAAACATTACAATACAAAGCTCCAACAACATTCAGATATTTGAACTAACATATTAACATTCGAAAATTTAAAATCATTTTAGAAATTTTAATTGTTAAGTGTTACACAGACCCATTACGTTTTTGATTGTGTAAAATTTGAAACTAAATTAATTGTTCAGTACTTATTTTGAGGGGCAGAAAAAAACAACATATTTTCATGCGCAGCCATTCCGCCAAAAATAAAGTGTCCGATTGACTTTACCTAGCCTACCATTCCCGCTTTTTTTGTATAATAATGAGAAGGAGAAGGAAATATATAAGTTTATAATCTTTTAAATCCCTTACAACTGAACAAATAAGGCATATAAGCAAATATACTTTAAACATCTTCTAGTCATAAACCTGACAAGAATCTCTCTATTAAGATTATTGTACATGTGATGCAATGCACCTTTAGCTAAGCATTTTTTTATCAGCATGCCTCCTTGAGAAATGTATACGGATTAGTTACCATCAGCCGTCTGCTGCTTAGCCATTTTATCGTTTGCAATGTTCTTTGTAATATTTTTTAGGTTTAAAATCCTGTCACAGTATACTGAATACATTAACGTAAAGATAAAATCGGGATAAATTATATTCTGACGGATTGTGTCGACGATTTAATGTGAGACGTACAAAATATCCTTCACAATGATTTCAGATCACTGAAATAAAGATTACCGGCTATCCGCTGCGTTGAATATAAGCATTATAAAGGTATTTGAAGAGTCTATAGAGAAATTGCAAACTACAAGATGTTTTCCTAATGTTATGGCGCTCTCACCTCAAGGATTTTAGGCGGATTTGTAAACTGTGAATCGTAAAACAGGTATATTTTCTTTAATTGTGGCAAAAGACTTTCGATCTTAGTTACAAATATATCTGAAAAAAATGTATATCTAGCTAAAATTAAGTATATGTATGAAAAAAATGTAGCTGAATTAAATTATAAATTACTGAATTGCATATTGAATAATAATCTAAATGTAAGTAAATGGAACAAAGATGTAGAACCTTATTGTGAATATTGTATGGTTGTTGAAGACAATGAACATCTCTTGTACAAGTGTAAACTCTGTAAAAATATATGGAAAAAAATTAGTTTATTTTTGGGTTTTGAAGTCACATGGAAAATACTTGTACTAGGTTTTTACAACGAAATCAATTCAAAAACAACGAGATTGAATAATTTATTGTCATTTATATGTTTTAACATCTATAAATATAAAATGAAATGTAGATTTGAAAAAGAAAATATGTATACAGAAATTCTTCGAAATAAGATAAAAAATTGTTTCTGTCTACAAAACGCAATTCTTAGGAAGGCACATGTAATTAATGATAATTTATATCTAGAGATAGGCAATTTCTTGTGATTTTGAGGTTCAAATAGATATGCAATGTATGTATTATGCTTTTGTGTACAATGAATTATTTATGTACCATATTTTAATAAAAGAGAGAGAAAAAAAAAGTTAATTAAAGTAGTCAAGCAAACAATAACAATTTGTTCAGAGCCCTGAGAAAACACTTGAAATCTAGGTAGTTTGTAAAATATAATCACGAGTACAAGTATCTGAAAATGATTTTTACTTCAATTATCAACGGTCTTGTATAAAGTCATCATTTCGTAAGTTCTATGGTCAATACAACGACCTTGTCAGCAAATACAATTTACATGTATCATTAAGTCAAATGCTGACTGACTTTTTCATACTTATTGTTAGACCATTATTTATACATTGAAATGATGATGGATTTTTTCCGTTATTTCCCGATCATGACAAGGAGCACACGGCGGGTGTGACCGGTCAACAGGGGCAGCTCACTCCTCCATGGCACCTGATCCCACCTCTGATGTTTTTGGAGGTCCGTGCTTGCTCTGCTCCTATTTTGTATTGTTTTTATGGATTTTGATATTGAATATACTGTTCGTTATCTCTGTATCCTTCTTCAATTTATAAAATAAAATTCTAATAATGAATAAAATACCGGTAGGTTGTTAACTGTTTCGTTATCGTGTTTATATATAGGTTATTATTTTTTTTTTTACATATATTTAAACATATAGTATAACTGCAACCACGTAATACTGTAGCTAATATTGGACATATATCTAGTAATAAAGGGTGACAAGACTTTTTGCTATCTATATAGTCATTGGGCAATTTCAATCTTAAATGAACAATTTTCATGAAATAATATAATTCTTGATGTAACGCACAATTTGATTGAATAAAATGATATATAGTTTATACTGTATAATCTGTACTGCCTTCGCCATAATGGCGTTAATAAAGCCTAGAGTCAGTACTGGGCTTTTGAATTACGGCTGCCATCACACTGATGTCCAAAAATTACACTGTAGGCCAAATAAATACAAAAGGGCTACATGCAACAAAATGTGATATATACATGAATATTCATTTATGCAAAGACAACTAGGCATCCTCACTCTCTCAAATTGCTATGACTCCTTAATTTTAAGATTTACGCATAAGTACATAAGTCAAAATCAATTACATATTTTTATTAAAAAAAGACACAATAAAAACTTGCTAAAACAAATGAAAAAAAAGTTGTAATGCTCAAAAAATTATGAAATACACCAGTTAAAATAATAAGTATTTCAAATTATTTTTTAGAAGCAAAAGAATATTGAATCTGATACTGACATGGATTTAACGAGCTGAATCATGCACGAAAAACGATATTTGTGATGAATTTTATCCTGTTGTTGCAGCATTGAGTCGAGTGAAACATAAACGATATGGAACCATTCAATAGGGAATGTACAACACCCTGGTATGGTCAAAGTAAGTTTTCAACTTTTCCTTTTATTTTATTTCATTTGATAACTTTGCAAAAAATATGTTATATCATTATGAAACATTAATTCAAAAGTAGCAAACATTTTATGCAATCAATAGAGCATTAAAATCAGTAATTATTTTTTGCTTATCTAGGGTTTAATAAAGGAGAACTCGTTCTTAAACGACATCGATCTCGACAAGAGAAATACAAGGAAAGAGGTGTGTATTTATATATAATTCAAACGTTCCTTGAGGCTCGCACTCTCTTATTCTCTCTCTCTCTCTCTCTCTCTCTCTCTCTCTCTCTCTCTCTCTCTCTCAAACTGCACTGGACACCTTTTCGACAAAATTACCTAATATATTTCGCTATACATACGCAACCTTTTTCATTATTTATGCATTTTACAAATTCAAATGAGTTATTCCTTATGTTTAGAGCGCAAAAGAGCAAAACTTTTTTTGAAAATAAGATGCTTTTGAAATAATAAAAATATGCGTTTACCTTTTGAAAATATGTTAATATAATATTCTTTTTTAAAACATTCCATACTTGATATGATAACCATCAAAACTATGGGTTACTTTCATTGTTACTGATTTTTGGTTTGCATAATGTGTTTGGCAATAAAAACTTTTATAGATAATTAAGGACATTTTATTTCTTACAGAAAGAAATAAACAAGTTTTACGGGGATGGTTCCCTGATGATCTAGTGTTTGTTGAAATGTCTTCCTTTCAATCTATTGTCAAGAAAGTGAGAGAGAATCAGATACGCATTTTAATGGGATCGCACAACACGGGAAAAACCGCAACCATGCGAGATATTGCCCTCTTACTTCAAAACGATTACGAAGTAATATCTGTGTCAGATCCGATAGATATAATAAATTTTGGATATCACGATGATGTTCAACTCTTCAACCCTTGATAACTTCTTAAACAAGTTGACCATTGATAGAAAAGATATGGAGAGATTAGATTACTTAGATTCAAGCATCGAATATGCTCTTGGCGAAAAATCCCAACTAATCATGACATGTGACAAGGAAACCTATCATCTTATGAAATCAAATGGTTTTGTTTTCCATGCTGAGTCTGTAGTTGATTTAGACAGTGAAGAGTATCAAATAAACCTGAAGGGAAGAGAACGAATTCTTG